GCTCAATGTATTCTGAGAGCCCCCTGCTGACAGCATCCCATCACATACAGGAGAGGTGTTTCCTGGGCTCACACAGTCTTCCACCTTTAGTGGGTCGCACAGCAACATTTTCTCTGGCCCTAAGCTTTCAGACTCATGGTTAGGAGTATTACCTGGACATGTCTTTGCAGGTTTCCTGACATGGGAAGTAGAGATACCATAGTGGTCAGCACAGCAGTTCTAGCTGACCAGGCACTGTCGTCCTTATCCAGGCTCTTGTCCTCATGTCTTTTAAAACTTGGTGGGTCCTTAGCTGTTCTGCTGGTCAACTATCTTCCTGAGGTTAGTTTTATGTCTGAGCTCACACTGACTCTCCCACACTGAAGAACTTCCAGGGTAGAGAGTGCTATAAGTTGCCAACATTCTGAATTGGTTACAGTGGAAGAAGTATTATATATATAGTGAAAGAAGTGTGATCTATATATATGTGTATATGTATATGTATATATGTATGTATAGATCTGATATTGAGATGTATGCCGAAATAAAATACTGAATAGAAATCTTTCGCAACATCAATGAAAAGGTATTGAATAGAGTTTAGGCTGCATTTGACTTGTTTTCTCTATATCATTCATCAATTATTAGTTTAGTTTACTGTAAAACAGAGAAACACATAACAAAAATTCTAGATTGTTACCCCCAAATGACAAAATACATCTAAAATAAACCTCAATAGGAACTGGAAATTGAGGAAGCAGGTAATTCAAGTGCAGTCTTCTGCCCTTTCCCAGAGTCCATGACAGATCCAGATGGGCTTAGAACCAGAAGTGTCAGTCTGGCTCCTGGGATGTGATGACTTTGCTAGTTGACCGCCTTTATCAGGATTTTCTGGATCCTAAAACACTCTTTAGTAGCTGGCATCCGAGAGCCTACCCCTCCTCCCTTCTGCTGAACACATGCTAACATTCCTCAAACTGATTGTTACGCATATTACATGGAATATACAAAACAACAACAAAACCAAAACACTGCCTTCCAGTAGATTCCACCTCAGAGCATGACCTTATCTTTATCTTTGCTGTTGAGGAGGGAACACTGTTCCTCAACTGCAGGACAAACAAGGATGCTTGCAAACCTCCATCCCTACACTGGCCACAAAGTGAAACCGCTGGCTGTGGGGACTGGCTGTAAAGTTAAAGTAATAAAAGTCATTTTTAAGAATATTCAAAATAAAAATCTCTAAAAATATTTGTTCAACTAAGATTCTTTAACGTTTTCTTTTATCCCCCCACTCAAACCATGTTATTAATCTAATCCAGACATTAGGATCTAATCCAGACATCAAAGCTTTCTATAGTTCAGTCTTATCAAGCAATGTTGTAAAATTTCTAGTTTTTTGGGTGTTTTTTACTAACGCAATCAGTTTCAAAACATTTCCTTCCTTCCTGAACTCACTTATGTCAGTTTCTCTTTACCGCTCACCTCTCCTGCTGCAGCCCCCAGGAAGCCTAATTCTAGTTAATGTCCCTGTAGATTCACCAATCCTGAACTTCATACATTAAAAAAAGAGAGACAAAACCAGAAAAAGACATTTCAGGGAATCAAAAAGGCTACCAACCTTGACAAAATACAACAGAGATAACCCTCTGTGAAAAAAAAGAAAATAATAAAAGCCAGATTAAGCACAAAGTGTCTCAAAATAGAGATCAAATAGCAAGGTTTTAACCATTTAAGTCAGATTTATCATTTTAACCTACTATTTTCTTCTCTCTGTCTGATCACCAGCTTATTCCCATCCCTCAGTTATGGTTAGAGGGAAATCACTGGTGGTTTGTTCCCTGTGTACCTTGTAAATGTATTTTGAGTTTCCACTGTCATCCAAAGTCTTATGCACACCAGAATATCACAATTTAAGCTCTGATATGATTATCTCCATTGGATTTGGATTATATAATTTACAAACCTTGTGAATTTTTTTAGAGCCTCATCTGTCTCCCTTGGAGTGGCTGGTGGCTTTGAACTGGTGGCCTAGCACATACATCCCAAAGGTAAATCCACTATGCCACCAGGGATAGAGGATTTGTATATAATATTCATTATTTATTTTTACACGTTGTTTTCCTGATTGCTTGATAGCCACATAGCTAAACTTATAACCAATAAGGGACTTTGCAAAAAGATCAAACCAGCAAAACCAGACAAGACATAACACCAGAAAAGTCATACATATGGTAGGAAACATGAGATAAGATCTTCAGCATTACTTGTCATTAGAGAATTGCAAACTTTAGCAATGAGATCATCACATACTGTTTGAAACGAATGGGGGGGGGGGAGGGGAAGAGGGAACTCCCACAATAAAACAGGCAATTGATAAGTATATGTAACAAAGATGAATCATAGCTAATGCTATTCTCTGCATTTACAGTTGTCTGAAAGCCACAAAGAGGTTTATACTTAAAAAAATAGTCAAGAATATGCATAAAGCGTATTTGTTGTTTACTCATAATCTACAATGACCCAAATAAATTTTAATATCAATCTGACTATTTCTGAAGATTTCTATTACCAAATTGATTGGTAATGGATTGCAGTTATAACTAAACTTTAGAAGTTGAAACATTTGAAAATACTTTCACTCTGATACCTAAAAAACACAATGTGCTTATAACTTTTGGATTCAGTGATCTTAGTACAGGACAAACTTTGGGTCCGCTGTTTACTTAGTTTTTCATTTGTGAATGCAATAATGCCTCATCCAGATCATAAGGGTTTTATGTGTTTTCCTCAAATGCAAATTCATTTGCTTTTCCTAATTACATGGAAATTTTTATTGGAATCATTAGGGAAATCATTGACTATTTACCATTATTTATACCAAACTCACTGCCATTGAGTTGGTTCTATGTCATAACAACCATATAGGGTAGGGTACAACGGGCCCTGTGGGTTTTGAGACTGTAATACTTTACTACCTGCTGAGCTTGCAGTTAGCAGCCCAACGTGAAACTCATTATGCCACCATGGCTCCTTATTTCATTATAGTCTTTCTCACTTATTTATTATGCTTGTCCTTGGTTTTAGTTTATCCCATTAGGTTATAGCAGGCATCAAGCTCAGAAGCAACAAAGCCCACATGGAAGAAGCACACCAGTCTATGCAACAACGAGATGTCGAAGGGATCAGGTATAAGGCATCATCAGAACAAAAAATCTTACCATAGTGAATGATGGGGGGAGTGCGGCGTGGAGATCTAAAGCCCATTAGTAGGCCACTGGAGATCCCCTTGCAGAGGGGTCTCGGG